ACATGAGAAATATTCATTCAGAATGAGGGTTTACACGGGAGATCAGTTTAATCGCCTTTATTCGGGTCTGCTCAAGGTTTGGGGCAGGGAAGGTTTCTGATTGGTTTCTGAGTGTCTAAAATAATGGACATAGACGTCACCACCTGGTTTGTGGACTCTCTTTGAAGGCTTGAGTTCGGTTGCTGAGTTTAGCCATCGCCATCTTGTTTTTTTGGAGCCAGATGTGACCATACTCGGACAAGAGGTAGGAGAAGGAAGGAGCAAGTGTTCTGACTCAAAGACTGTAGCCACGCCTTACAGACAGCCTGTCATTCATGCAGCCCCACCCTTAAATGTCCAAAATATTAAGCCTTAATAAAATGTAAACAGGTGAGTTACGTAAAATTCACCCCCTGTACAGTTTTTATGAATGTTGAAAGTAGCTATCGAGACCAAAAATGTTTTTTGGTCCAGGCCAGAAACATGTTTATTTCTGCTCTATAGACCATTTCATTGCTATTCTGTTGCTAGGGCAATGTGTTTGGTCCCTGTTTACTTCCTGTCAGCTACAGCATTAACAAACATTACAACAGGAAGTACACCTGGACCCATTTAGAACATCTATGTTTTCAAGTCTGAAACGGTCTATAGTTGGGCATTTTAAAGGGAAATTTCGGTTTATTTCAACCTGCCTCCTATCGTCCTAAATTTGTTTCAAGTGACTAGTGACATAAAAAATAATAGCTAGCATGTTAGCCATTAGCCTAGATACAACCGGGGCGCATAGTAGCGTCAGACCTGTTAAAACCTAAGTGAACGGGCAACCTTCAAGTGCAAAGTTAGTCCACTAAACAAGCTTTTTTTCCACAAAGACCGCCTCATATTGTTAGGATAAATGTCAGAGAACATATAGAAAACGACATGTAAACGTGTTGTCTTACCTTACCGGTGTGGTGCCATGTTTGTTTACCATCTAGCTCTGCTTTCCAAAGCGCGGCCAAAATATTGCGAGAACAAGCAGTGATCTCATACCGTGCCTGAAATCTCACAAGCTCTAGATAAAGCCCAGCTGGATACTACTCCAGGTGGAGGTGTCTCGTCCTCGGTCACATCCAGACCTTGAAAATAAGTCTGCAACCGGTCCCATTCCTTGCAACAGAGGCATTCCTCTTCTGTGGGCACTGGGGCACAGCATTCACAGGTACACCACCAATCTCCAGAGCTACGCAGCCTTGCAGCAGCCATTCCTCCTCTCTCGTCCTCTACCTGTTGCTCCTCTCTCTCTCTCCTCCTCCATTCTTCAATTTCACGAAGCTCTTCATCAGTGTATTCTGGCTCAAATAAATAAGGGGGCCATCAAACTCTGCAAAATCAAATTCCTCCTCAACAAAGTCAAAGTCTGGCTGCTTGTTCTCGCGATATTTCGGCCACGCTTTAGAAAGCAGAGCTAGATGGTGAACAAACATGACACCACACCGGTAAGGTAAGACAACACGTTTACATGTCGTTTTCTATATGTTCTCTGACATTTATCCTAACGATATGAGGCGGTCTTTGTGGAAAAAAAGCTTGTTTAGTGGACTAACTTTGCACTTTAAAGTTGCCCTTACGTTTTAACAGGTCTGACGCTACTAACGGCTAACATGCTAACCATTATTTTTATGTCACTAGTCACTTGAAACAAATTTAGGACGATAGGAGATGGGTTGAAATAAACCGAAATTTCCCTTTAACATGGGGGACTATGAGGATTGACTTTGTTTTGGAGCCAGCCTCGAGTGGCCATTAGAGGAACTGCAGTTTTTGGCAGTTTTTTCATTTTTTTCAGTCTTGGAGGAAGTTTTGACTAAGATTTGGATTGTGCAGTAAGGTGCTTTGTTCTTTTGGTGAATTCCTGTAAAGATCTACTACGAACAAAACTGTCTTACAGGACTTGCATGACTGATGTTGATCCATTTCTTGAAACGACAAGATGAAGGTGATTTGCCATATCTTTTCACCCTGGCAGTAACATGTGCCACTGATACTGACTTCACCAACTGACGTAATAACATTCTGCAAGAGTTGTGGCTTTAACAGGTTTAGTGAGTTCCTACGGAGCTTGAGTATGGTCAGGTTTCACCTCTAGGGCACCAATTCTCAGTTTATGGTTGTCTTTTTTTATCACACTTTTGCAAGGGCACTGTCGCCCAAGATGATTTTGACTGGTTCAAAGAAATACAAACAAGCCATTGCATTTTTTCCCCTCTATAGCAGAATAATGGGTGACTCCAGACCTTTCTCTATTGTTGATGCAGTACTGTGGAGAGTCTGGCTACGCAAGACAAGGGTAGCACAATCATGTTTTTCTTTTATTTCTGTTCTGTTCTCTTGTCTCTGTTCATTATTTCTAATCTCTTTAGAGTCTGCTGAAACTTGCTTGTCATTCTCCGTATAAATAGATTAGATGTCCTTGAACCATGTGCAGGAGTAGATGCAGGTACACCACCACAGGTTCCAGCGATTTTGGCTTCACTCCTTCAGGCAAATTCCTCACAACCCCTTCTAAAAGGTGACATTTTTCTATGAACTGTGAGCATTTCAAGCAAAGAGGGAGCTTCACTTCCCAGGATCATTTTAATGTTTGAGGCCTGAAAAAGTAGAACAGAACAGTGTTTTACAAGAATAGAGCAAAGACAAGATAAACCTGTCCTTTTTTCTTCTTTGCTAACTTCTTGTTACCCCTCAGATTGGTCTCTGGAGCTGTCAGGGAATGCAGACAGGCCAGCTGGGGTTGAGCTGGTAACCAGTGCAGCAGACTAACATTTCTTTAGCATGTTGTACAAACCAGAACAGTTTATCAATAGTGACTGAGATCATCATCTTCAAAAATTATACTAGTTTCCTCTTTGTTATTTTGTGATTCTGTGAGCGGTAAACACCTCTTTTGTTGTGCATTTTATTTATTTGGCTTTTTATCAGGAAAGTTCAGAGGCCATGTTTAGCTTGAGTTGGCTGTGTTGACTTTTATAGAGGGTTAAATGATCAGATCCCCATACAGGAAGCAGGTGCTTGTGATCGTAACAGCCTCACAGAAATATGAGGAATGGAAAATGTGGCTGCTTTAGGAACATGTTCACCCCAGCAGCGCAGAAGATCTTTACAATCAGTTCAAGGTGGACACCCAAGATTAGTGTCACCAATTCAACATCTGACCAAATGTCTCCCATCGATGTTCCTGAGGTATGACGCTGAGAAATGGCCAGAAAAGTGTTTTTGCAGAGCATTTTGATGTCACAGTGAAGCTGACCTTTGGGTTGTAAAATGTCATCACTTCCTCATTATATCCTGTTTGACATTTGTGTGAAATTTTGTAATAATTAAGACAAGAATTCTAGAATTATGGCCAAAAACATAACAAAGGTTACACTGACCTTTGACCTTCGACCACCAAATTCCAATCAGATTATTCTTCAGTCAAAGTGAACGTTTGTGCCAAATTTAAAGAAACTCCCTCCAGGCATTCTTGAGATATTGTGTTCACGAGAGTGGAACGGACGGACTGACAACCCGGAAACATAATGCCTTCAGCCACGGCTATTGCCGAAGCAGAGGCATAAAAATACTTGGTTAAGTTTAGGAAAAGGTTGCTGTTTCCGTCAAGATAACTTTGTGTACGAGGCATAAGTGATGAAAACTTTTGTACTATGCAAAGTTACTTAAAGTTCGTAAAGTCACGTAACTACGCTGACTTTCGGTTTCACACGGGACACTAAGAGCCATCTGTGTAGATTTCGAGGGGGATGACTTTTATTTTGAATAAATTTAGGATATTTTTGCCACAAAGAGCATAAAAATTCACCAGAATGCAGGAAATTAAGTGTTTGATGCTTAAAATATTCTTGTGGAGTACACCCCAAACCCCTATTTAATATGTTCCCCCCCAGTGTTGAAACAAAACTGGCGTCTCCTGGTTGAAAGTCCATGTTTGTTTCATCCATCCACCACCTATGATGTGACGTTCTCGCTCTTTCTACTTAACTGTCTACCACGACAAAAGATCCTCACTGACTTTGCATTGGCATGTTTTCATGTTCCCAGCATTTGATTTTAATACAACATGCCCACCACCCAGCACTGCTTTGTTACATGTCCATTTCGTGTATTTCTATGAGGCTGTGCTGGTGATTTTAGACAGGCAGTTTGTCCGCTTTAATCAAGAAGTCTCCCCTATGAAAACAAAAACTATTACAATCCTGAATCTAGGCTTTTACGTCTTGTATTATTCATGTTGATTTCCACCCTTTAGTGACTTTTCTTTACTTCTTTGCTCACAACTTCCGTTTATTTTATTCCAAGACGTCTCAGTAAAAATACATCTAGATGACAATCTTTGACCCACTTGTTTCCGTTTGCACTTGTTCCGCATTTCTGTTGGGGCACTTGACCCGCCAGCGTAATGTACTGCAGGGCCATGAGTTGTTATACGCCGAAGATAGAAAACCCACAACCACATAATTATAGAGCGCAATGGGTGTTTCCAAACTAGCAAACCATAATATCCTTTTCTTAACCTTTTTTTTTTTTTTTTTAGTAAGTTGTAAGATTCCTCCACAGAACAGCTGGGTGTTAAACCCCTCGCTCTATGGTACAGTGGAGTTGAAATTGATGTGGTAGTTTAATAAAACAAATCTGTATATTTAGCCTTCAGGAGTCCATAAAGTATTACAGTAAAAGCCGAATGTTTTAAGTGTAATGCATGCACAGCACACACACTTGGATAAGAGCAGTAACCACAAATATAAGCATTTCTGCTGTACTTCCTGTTCATGTTTTGAACAATAAATTCTTTAAACACTGAAGTTTTTTTAAAGATTTTGCACAGGTATAGCTGCATGTCTCATTTTATTCTTAGCAGATATTAAACCTACCACAAACCACCGCCATCTTTTCTTCGGTCAATCCTATAGCCAGACAGTCAGAGGTTTGTGTCTTTTAACAACCAGACGAACTTCAAGTTGTCCACAAAACAAATACAAACAAGCGATGTACGTCTGAGTTTATTTGGAAGATTTATTACATTCGTTGCTTTGGTGTACCAAAAGGATTTTAAATCTGAGACACTGATGACCCAAATATACTGTATGGAAATAGAAATAATACAAAACAGTGCATTTTTTAATCAATAATTTGGCAGTAAATATGGGGCATGTTTTGGTCAAACAAGAAAATGTTCATAAAAATGTATTAAACTTAAATGATAACATATAAACAACACACACAAAGAGGAAACACAGGGGTTTATAATATAAAACAAGTGATCTAAACTATTAAAACAGGTCAGTGGTGTCTTCCTACGGTGACATATTGTAACTCTTCTTAAAACGTAGTGTTGATCTCGTGGTCAGATTATACAAAATTTTGATCAATCTCTCTCTGAAAAAAAAAAAAAAAAAGATCCCATATCCCAAACACACTGTACAAAATTCATCTACCCATTTGTTCCCATACCTATAAGTACATCCCCAACCTCTGAGCAGGTACAGCTTTCCAGTTTGTGTTGGCCAACGCAGGTAAAGACGTGACACAGGAATGGCTATGCTAGGCATCTGTATGTAAACAAAGTGTCGTTGTGACTACGCCTCGGCATGTTCGTGGCAGGGTGTGTAAATAAAGTTTCACTACAGCACATGTTTGAGGCCTTGTCTCTTGTGCTTCCTCGTGCTTTGTTCCTGCTGTAACAAGGTGAACTATTTTTGTCATGTGAAATCAAAATGAAGGTTTCTGTTACGGTCTCTCTGTAAATGTCTGAAGACGTTTTTTTCACTCATAGCTTTGGTGTGCACGTCCTCGACAAGGCGAGGCGAGGTCACCGCTTATCACTGCCAGCAACACATAATCTCTGTATGACAGCCGGGTTCTTAGTCAACAACTCTCCCAAAACGAGACAGCCACGTCCCCCTGGAATTTATAGCGACAGCAGAAAACACAGCTGTAAATCTTACACCAGAATTTCTCTGTGACTGTCAACTTGTTGATTAATATGTTACCCAGCTGACCAACTTCCTAACAAAAAGAGACAATGGGTTATACAGTAATACAGCCTAAACAGAGGGGTTATGCTCTTCTGTCTGTTCTCAGAGACAAACAAAGCACAGCTGCGTCACATCAAGAAAGTCATTTTTCTTTTTTAAAATGAATCTAGTTTATGTTACTCTGTACATACGACATCTGCAGTGTTGCATGTCTGTCCATCCTTGAAGGAGGATCCCTCCTGAGGTTATTTTCCTTGTCTGTATCAATGGTCTAAGGACAGATGGTTTTGTATGCTGCACAGATTGTAAAGCCTCTTCAGGCAAATTTCTGATTTGTGATATTGGTTTATATAAATAAGCCTGACTTGACTTGATGACCCCCATGTCTGCCAGAAACTAACAGTAAACACTTGTAGAATAAGAGAATAATATTCAGTAAAAAGAGGCTATTAAAGAGATTCAACTAAGGCTACAGTTGGTAACTTATATAAAAGTAACTTTGCTAAAACTGTTGCTTTATTCTGAAAGATGTAAATGAGAGAGATGTCATGTCCCTCCTCCTCTTCTCTCTGCTTCTAATAGCATTCGCAAGAATCGACCGGGGTGCACCGAAAACAACCAATCAGAGCAGAGGATCTGTCAATCATCACAGCTCATGAACTGCTCTCAAATTGTCAAACCAGGCAGCGCTGAACAAATATGAATCAATATTCTGTTACTGCCCGTTCAATATTTTCAGAAACACATTTTAGTGCACTGTTTAGCTGTAAAATGAGAAAGTTTGTGACCCTGCTGCTATGTTGGATATAGATAACCACCCACCGGCTGAACCAACGTTCTCATTCTACAGCTAAACAGTGCACTAAAATGTGCTTCATAAGACATTTGAGGAGAGAAAGAGGCACTGCAGCTACAGAATCTCGATTCATCTTTGATCGGCGCTGCCTGGTTTGACAGTTTGACTGCAGTTCACGAGCAGCGATTGACATGATTGACAGCTGCGTCAGAGACTCCTCGGCTCTGATTGGTTGCTTTCGTTCACATGCAGTAAGGCCATTAGAAGCTCTACAAGGCAGCAGAGTAGGATTGTTTTTTCACATATTATCTGTCTCATTTAGTGCTGTGTGAATAGGGTTACAACAAATATGAAAAGTTACTAACTACAGTTTCAAGGCACATACTGCACATAAGCAGAGAGGCAGCGATAGACTCTGATTAATATGAAGTAACCTCCAATCATAGAATGAGTGAGTTTTCTCAGTGTCTGATACTTTAAGCCGAGTGAACGCAGACGTAGAAGTTCTTGTGCTCCTCCCAGTAGTGCAGCTCATCTTTGAAGCTCCAGGAGCAGGCCAGGTCTCTGCTGGTTTTGACCGTGTGGACCACCCAATCGCCGGGCAACCTCTCAAACAGGACCTCTGCTACACCCACCACCGAGAGTCTCTTCTGACTCTGGATCACCTGCTGGATGTGATTCCTATCCACAGGCTCTGGTGAGGCGCTGTAGGACACCCAGACGTTGAGTTTCTCATCTGATGACGGCACCTGGAAGCGAGTCTTCCCTGTCGGGCAGTGGAAATTCTTCTTGTCAGCAAACAGGCCCGAAGGGGACTTGAATATACGCACGGACCAGCCCACCCAGTCATACTTCTTCTTCAGTTTCTCTATGATCGCATCAGCCAGCTGCTGGTGGGTTAAGTTTGAGTCGTCTCTCACCAGTCGACGGGAATCTATCTCAGCCTGTTTGGGGAAGCTGACGATGCAGTCTTCAATGACGGCATTCATTTTTTCCTGGACAGTCTTCATCTTCTCACCCCACTCTTTCAGAAGCGCGTCCTCCTCGTCATATCCCTTCAGAGCAGCATGGCCCAATAGCGCGATGAGCCCGATGCAGAAGAGCTTCTTCAGCCTGGCACAGAAATCCTCCACCGGCCGGCGACTTTTCTCCTCGTAGTTCAGGGTGATCTCGAGCACAGATTCCCCAGAGAAGTTATCTCCCGTCACAGAGTTGTAGAGCGTGATAAGGTTTTTGTCACCGCCTGTCTTGGCGAAATGCTCCAGGAAAAGCTTCTTCTTAACCTCCCGGAACTTGGGTTTGGCATTAAGAATGTCCATGTACTTCCTGAACTGGTTGGTGATGTTTTCCTCAATTGGGAAATACACAGCATCCAATCCGCTCTTCTTGATCTCGTCGTTGATGCGCTGAATCTCCTCCGAGGCTGCCTCCAGACGCTCGCGCACCTTCTGGAACTGCTCCTTCATGAACGCAGCCTCTTTGCTCTCCACGTTGTCCAGAGCCAGTTTAACAATCGGAGCGGCGATGGAGAAAACGGGGAAAAGGTCGCCGGCGATACTGGCCACCACTTCGGCTCCTTGTTCAAACACTTCCATCACAGTCTCCACCATATCCTTCCTCTCCGCTACAAGCTTCTGTAGCTGGTTTGCCATCTTCGCTGATGTCGCTCAGACTGATTCTAACGAGAGAAAAATATCAACATGGTTAAAAACAAACAAAACTGGTGCCGTTGTGATATGTAAAGGAACAGTGTGTAAGATTTGGGGTGATTTATTGACACTGAGTGGTGAGGAATACAGATTAAAAACCAGCTAAAACTTCTCCTGGTGAGAATTCCTTCCTTCCTTCCAGTGTTTATTTTATTTTTTATTTATTTTTATTTAACCTTTATTTAACCAGGCAGAATCATTAAGAACGAGTTCTTATTTACAATGATGGCCTGACAAGAGGCACAAGCTTTTTGAGGGGGAGGGGAGAGAGGGCTGTGAAAGAAAAAGGATTGGTTAAAAAGACGGTAGCACAGCACAGAGCACAACTATACAGACATGTAGCAGGACATCAACAGAGACAGCACATAAGCATGGTTATGCGGACAAATAGCAAGAGAGTGACAGAGACAGAAAGGGTTAACAAACTTCTATTCAGTCATACAGGCATACAGGCAAAGCAGTGGGGGTTAATAGCAAGGATTATTTACAACATCACAACACAAAAACATAAAAACAAAGTTAATAACAGGATTATTTGCAACATCATTTATTGTTCAGGAGGTGAGCCAAATTATCCGCAGAGGTCTCTTCCTCTCCAAAACAAACAGACCAACTGATTTAAACTGGTAAAAACACTGAACAAAGCAGTTTCACATAACAAATTAGTGTTTCTCCTAAACTGTTTGGCAGCTGCTAGCCCAGCACCTACTAATGTGTGCTCAACTTTTTTGTTCTGATAACTTAAGATCCAGACGTTCAGGAGGTTTTTAGCTCGAGCAGAATTATCAGCAGTGGTCTCCACCTCTCCAAAACAAACGGACCCTGTGATTTAAACCGTTAAACGCACTGAAAAAAGCAGTTTCAGGTTAAAAAATTGTTTTTCCAATGCTCTCTTCGCAGAGAGGCTGCTAACTACAGTGGCTGACATGAAAATGCGGATGACCCTATCTAGAGCCAGTGTTTGGTTTGTCCAATCTGGGCTACTGTGGAAACACGGAGGTGCAATATGGCGGACTCTGTAGATGAGGACTTGCTCCCTATGTAGATGTAAACAGCTCATTCTAAGGTAACGAAAACACAATGATTCTTATTTTCATGTGATTAAATAATAAAGAAAACATACCTATTATATTATATTTCATTCTGTTAGTATATCCCCCTAAATCCTACACACTGGACCTTTAAACAAGAAAACATTTAAGGACAAAGTAAAAACCAAGACATAAAAGTAAAAAACTGAACACAAATGAGACAGAAAGTATCACCAATTTTAGTTTCTCTGACAGAAGGTTGTGTTTTCTTGGTTTACTCACAGTTCTGCTCTGTTCAGTGCTGTTGGACTGCGGCCTGCTCCCTCGCTCCTCTTACAACACAGCAAAAACTGATAAGGAAAGAGAGAAACAGCCAAGTGAGCTTCAGTGCTGGCATCTGGCCACACCCGGTGAGCAATGAGTCAACAATGCAAGAGGGAATTCAGCAGTGACAGAGGGCCAGTATAGGCTGAACTGGTTGTGTGTTACTTGTGTGTTTACAGTTGGGGAATCAGCAAATTTTGAAGTTTATACTGTGGGAATTATAAGACGGGCAAAGGGGAGTAGCTGTAATTTATGTTAAAGTAAAGTAATGCAACATTTCTCTTAGTTCAGTAGGTGAAGACAACATGGAGGAGCTCTGACTAACAAACCTGTAAACACTTTTTCCACTGAGCTCACAGGTTTACTACAGACACTAACATATATTAAAATAGTATATAGAAAACACTAAATTATTTGCTTGAAAAGATAAAAGTCATTAATTCTCCTAAACCCCTGTCAGCCAGTTTGTCTACACTACTCTCAAGGCCACTGAGGAACTTTTATGCCTGAGGGAATAGTTTGACATTTTGAAAAATACACTTGTTTTTGTTTTCCTGTCCAGAGTAGGGCTGCACAACTTATCGAAATATTATCAAAATCGCAATATGGCCAACTGCAATATCCAAATTTCAGAAGCTATAATCTATGGATGAAGCTAAAATGTTTCATAACATGCTAACGTACATGCCCCGCCTGACAAATCATATTCCAGATGTAAGAGAACATGCTTATTTGCTAAAGACCCCAGTGAAAATCACATCGTTATCATTTTTACTTTTTTTTTTTCAGTAAAAATGAAAAGCAAAATTTACCACTCCAACTAAAAGCGCAACTCTTATCTCAATCACATTATCTATCATAATAATCCTGATATGACTTTTTGAATATTGTGAAAAATCAACACTGCTCTCATATCTGGCCCCTTAAATATAAAGCTGCAGCCAGTTATCTTAGCTTAGCATGAAGACTGGCAAAATCTAACTCTCTGCAAGAAAGCAAAAAAAGCACATGACAAATTGTCAAAACTTTTACTTCAACACAAATGAGGTCTAGAAGTGCTTCAGATGACGGCTACTAAGCTTGCATTGATTCATTTCCAGGACAGGTACAAACTCCATCCACAGATTAAAACTGTGTCATACAGCTGAACAGTCTGGGAGGAACTATTAAAGGGGCACTACAGCGTAAGGCAAATTTGATTTAAGACTGTTTTTTTTAAGTCCACTCGGAGTTAAATTTAAGACTAATTTTACAATAACCAAAACTGAAGAAAAAGAGAACATGAACTGACTGAAAAATTAAGGTTAGGGACAGTTTTGCCAAAATGTTTAATGTGACAAAACATGACTTTTTTGGGAAATGCCAGAGATACTGGATGAAGCGAGATACCCAACTCAGCTCACTTCCTGATTCAGTGACGTCAGTGCCACGCCCCCGTAGGAGACTTGCGGCAGCTCTGAATGTATTGTCGTCAATGAGGAAAATGAATGTGATCACAATTTATGTTCAATTCTTTCGCCCAGTAGTCACTAAAGTAAATATTGGGTTCATTTTCCACAAGCCACACATCTTACCAACATTCTGACACTAAAGCTGCATTTTTCATCCGCACAGATCAAGAGAAAGTTAACTTTGTTTGAGCCCTGTCCGTCTCAGAAAACAAGTTCTCGTGAGATCTTGTGATCTTGATAAACAGGCGGTAAAATCACAGTTACTTTACAAACAGTTATTTACCGCTAGTAATAAATAAAAAATGCCCAAGCTTTGTGCAGCAATAGGCTGCAATAATAGGAAGAATGTATTTTCATTCCACCTGCTTCTTGATCTGCATACACAGACATCCACAGAGCCTCTGTTCAACACTGTGGTGGGGAGGGGGGGGTTGAGGGAGAACAGGCTCTGATTGGAGGGAGAGCTAACCACGCCCACTTAGGAGACAGGAAGAGTAACCGTTTTCTTAACATTGGATAAGCCTACAGTTGGGTATCTCCCTTCATCCAGTATCTCTGGAAATGCGTAGCGTTTGTTGGCACGTTTTCTTGACAATTTTGTGTTTCTCACTCTGCATGTGGGATTCCACTGCTTTGATTCTAGGGTTGCTACAGTATGAGATTTTCACTGCACAATAACTGTCTCAGAAAATATTGCAGTGTCACTGTATCATGATATCATGATATTTCAGAATTTATAGTATGAGTCAAAATGACCCTTAAAAGAATGAAAACAAAAGGGTTATTGTTGGTTTTATTACTATAACCCTGAAACTATTTTGTTAATGGAAGTATGTGTAAAAGTCTCCCCTTTAGCAAATAACTAAAAAAAGGACAGGTTTAACGTCCAATTGCAAATGTATATAGTATGATAACCGTCAACTTTTATACCACAGTATACCTTAAAACCAGTATATTGCTGTAACCCTATTTGATTGCCATTGTGCCGAGTTCGAAAAACTTTTTGCATAAAATACAACAAGGCTCATGTGCATGGGCTTGTATCGGTTTCAGCCATATCACGAAATCTTAGCCAGTTTCAAATTTTAGGGTAGAGTGACAGCTAGCTAGCCGACAGCAGATCCTCCACTCTGATTGGACACAAAATACAGGATTTTGGCTGTTTCTGTTATCCTGATTTGAGTTATGTTAATGTGAAAGGGTATTTGGTTAATTATTAACCGGGGTTTTTTCGGACCTAATAGTATTGCGGAGTTTTGCACGGCGGCGACTGGATCTTTGCTCTCAAACCACCAAAAAATGTGATGGCACAGCAGTCTCCTTCAGTACATTATTCTGTGCTTTCTTTTGATTTTCACATTGGCTAGTCTTCCTGTTTAATTTGTCTTCTGATTAAATCGGAACCTTTGAAACAAGTTGTAGGAAGCCTCTGCAAGTAATTGGTTGCTGGCAGACACTCTGTGCTGCAATAAAATGGTTAATCAGCAGTGCCGTGCACTGTAGAGCCGATGCGCTGCTGGTTCTGCCAGCCTGAATAGAATATAATGTCTGCATTTATAGACTGAGCTGAGTAGTGATGCGCGGGTCGACCCGTAACCCACGGGACCCGCAAATGGACCTGCGGGTCGGGCAGCAGTGATCGTCTGTTAAATCGGTCTGTAAATGATATTCTGACATTATTATTATTAGAATCTATTAATCTATAATCTATTACTGTCATGGCATCCGAAGGTACTGATGCGTTGAGCAGGTGACAGTCCGCGGTCGTTTTCAAAACACACGTGTGTCACGCACTCCAAAAGAAACTTGTTGAAACTTTAAACAATAATTTATTGTACAAAACGGGGGAAACAAACGTTGACTAAAACGGTTCCGTAATTCATATTAAATTCAAAAGAAAACGAAAAAACAGCTACAAGTTAGAGGGAATAGTGATAAAGTGGTAAAACGTGGCATATATCCACAGCCTCAGACGGATGCGCTCAAGCCTGCCGTGCGCACAAGCTCCGTTGGTAGGATACTATATTTTCACATTTTTAACAATGCAATTTAAAAGTTTGGATTTTTATTGATAACCTACATTTACCAACAACAAAAAGACTACATTTAGCACCAAAAAAAAAAGTAAATAAAAAAACGAATATCGAATACCAAATTTTCATAACGAATACCCACCCATATAAACAAATATTCAAATATCCGAATACTTGGGTACAGCCCTAGAGATTTTACAATGAAGTTGTAATAAAAAGATCCATAAAATCCTGCTACATATGTCTCAGCATTTTTAAGACTTGTGAAAGATTGATTTAAGGCTTTTTAATACCAATTGAAGCCTATTTTTAGATTAATGAATTCAATGCCTTTTGTAAGGATCTGCAGGAACCCTGTATGAAGTGGACCTTGAGTTAGGATCCTTTTCTCAAACAGTCTGTTGTTATTCTGTCTGTTAATAAGTCTGCTACACTTTCATTTGAAAAGTAAATCATAGTTTTCAAAGGGCCTAACACAATAATACAGAGGGTTAAAAAGCATCAGCATTCAGTGGTGATTTTAATATGAAGGAAATCACTTCCTGTCTTGCACTTGAAAAACAAGAAATCCACTGGATTTGGAAAATCTTATTTAACACAAACAGCTCCTCCCAAAGGCCACGAAACAGCTGACTGTGAGAGAAACAAACCCAGACTTAGTCTCTGGACATGTTCAGACACGTCCTCTTGCAAAACTGGAAATGTGTAACTTGGGTGGAATTCTGACTTTGCTACAAAAATGACAGAACAGTCATCCACTGGCTTCACACATTCACATTACTTGTCTGTGCAGCAGCTCAAGCTAATGAAGCTGTCATCATATGTTTTAATTCAGGTTTGTACAGAGAGCTGTTGTTGTTGCATGCTCAGTTTTTTAATTTTGGCTGAGGGAGAAGCAGCAGTGTTGTTTCTCCCTCAACCAGCTCAGTCAATAATGGAGCAGCGAGCGTGGGAAGTGATTAAGTGTAAGAGGTTAAACTTGCTGGGCAAGGGTGCGTTTTCCAATGAAACTCAGCGAGTTACCACGGCAACAAGACAATGGAAAATAATCTGTCAGCTCGTTCGTCTCTCTGCTGAGGTCTGCTCTGTGGGGTTTATCAAGCTAGACTGCTGAAGATTGCAGTGAGAAGATAGCAGACATTTTTCAGCCCGATGAATCAAACAGTTCTGCGAAGTCAGACGTCTGCAGGCGTTTACACAAAACAAGGACGTCTGTACTGGTGATTGAATCATGTGAACAAAGATGTCTGTCTGACGGCTCCAAAATTAAAGGAACAGTTTGAGATTTGGGGAAATACAAGAGGATCGATATCTCATTAAATATATAGCTACAGCCAATTGGTTAACTTATTTTGGCTTTAAGAGTGGGAACAGAGGAAGGCGGCTTCTCGAGCTGCATCCAAAAGCCGCTATGAAATGTTTAATTCATACAAAAGCTGAAGCATAAAACAACACATTGTGGTTTTAAAGGGGTTCTGTGCAGGACTCATTTTTGGCCGGGAGTCACGTGAGTTTCATCACACATCCCCCGAGAAACCTCAACTTGACTGATGTATTACAGCGGGGGTACACCCTGGACAGGTCACCAGACTATCACAGGGCTGACACATAGAGACAGACAACCATTCACACTCACATTCACACCTACGGACAATTTAGAGTCACCAATTAACCTGCGTGTCTTTGGATTGTGGGAGGAAGCTGGAGCACCTGGAGAAAACCCACGCTGACACGGGGAGAACATGCAAACTCCGCACAGCAAGGGCTCTCACACGTTGAGTTAAAACCAGGAACCCTCTTGCTGTGAGGTGACAATGCTAACCACTGCACCACCGTGCCGCCGGCATGGAAAACAGGAGTGTATTTTGAAAAGCCGCAAACTAATGCAGAGGGGGACCTAGCACGTCATATTTTGACATGTGGGTCCACGGACAAAGCAGCAGTAGTTGACGAGTCATGATTTTCCTGAACTGTTGAACTATTCCTTTAAAGCATCCTTTAAATGTCAACCACAAAGCTCTAAAACTGAAATAACTGTGACTGAAAATATGTCATATCTGCATGATTTCCTTGTCAGACTTAAGAACAAAAACAACAAAAGCAGAGGAAACTCCAGCAGGATGTCAGAACATTTACAGTTACTGTATCTTATTTGATTTGACCGAGCTAAAACTGTAATTCCTGTTTCCCACTGATGATTTCTTTATCTCTCTCTCAGGGCCCCGGGGATCATGTAACTCCAGTCTGAGTGCATGTAAAGCACCTTCACACACAATTCAAACACAGAAGTGCTTGAAGAAATCACATTTTCAGAGACAGAGCCAAAGCTGCATCTCACCAGAGATAATATTTCCACTTATATTCAGTCATTTTCAGTGGTGGAAAGTATATTTACTTGGACTACAGTGTACTAAAGAACAACTTTGAGATACTAAACATAAGTATTTCCATTTTATGCTACTTCATACTGAATTTCCGAGGGAAATAAATATTGTACTTCTTACACTGAATGTATTTCACAGCTATGGTTACTCCTATCTTTCAGATAAAGATAATTCAATAAAATAAAATGCATTGTTCAAGAGTAACTGAGTGGTGTCCAACCTTTTTGGCTTCAACCCCTCACAGAACAGTGTCAACTTTGGGCCCCTTGTTATGTTTCAGGTGTATACACACACTTGCTTGTTTGATTGAGAACCAAGGGGGGGGGGGGGGGGGGGGGGTATTTACAGTGTATTTCATAAAAAAGCCGGAATTAGAAAGGCAAAAAACACAAATTTGTGTGGCAGAAACATGTTGTCTTCCTCTTTCCTTACCCATTAATAATCTCATGACCATTCACATTCATCTTATTCATCTTTATTTAGCTGATAGCACTTGTGTACTTCAGTTACATGTTGATTGCAGGACTTTTACTTGTAGTTTTAACAGTGAGGTATTTCCAGGCGTAGCTTTTGTTTCAACACTCCGGGGGATAAATATGAAACAGCAGATTTGGGGATCCACTGACAGAAAATTTTGAGTTTTAAACGCTTAATTTCCTGTATTCTGGTCGATTTTAGTGCACCAATTTGTATCTTTTCTGCATCAATTCATGTTGTAAATCATGGGTGGACTATGAGTGAATGGGCCCCTGAGCACAGGCATGCAAAAGTGCTGTCACCTGACCTGCACAGAAGCAAAACACAAACTTTGTGTTGGTTTTGCCTCATTTTTTGTTGTTGGTTTGTGCATCTTTGTAGTCGTTGTAGTGCAGCGTTTGAGGTTTAGTGTCTCCGCGGTAATATTGAGTGTCCTTGTGGTAGTTTTGCATCTCTTAGTAGACGTTTGTGCCTCTTTGAAGTAATTTTGTGGGATTTTTCCTGTTTTTTTGTCTCTTTGTAGGTGTTTTGCATCTCTTTGCGGTCCTTTTGAGCCCTTTTCTGGTCAGTCAGCCATTCACCCTGTCTCTATATTATATTCAGCCTTATTTTGATGCCTTTTTAAAATTGCACATGCTCTAAATACTGAGGAGGACATGTCCCCTGTGCAACCCCGACAATGTACTCCCAATGGTATTTGCACTTTAAATAAAGGATGTGAGTACTAATTCAAATCACTGGTGCTGTAAGCGACATGGGAAACATGATAATTTTGTGAACAGCGTTTGTGATTGTGTTATAAACAAATTAAAACTCAAATGCAAACATCATGTGTGTGCTGCCATCACACAGGACACACAGAATGTCTCTGAGAGAGTTTAAGAGTTCATGTTATATTTATGTAATGTGTCAGAGCCTCCTATGAACACAAAGATGACCAAACCCTCTGACAGCTGACCAGAGCTGAACGCTGTTAATGCTCCCTCTTAATGGAAACCGTATCGATCAGTCCGTGAACAAGGCCTCTAATTGTATCATTTTACAGCTGGAGCACACAGAGCCAAACAAACATCACAGGTTAACACCACACATGAGTTTCATCTTTGTTACAGCTCAAGTGGATAACGCAACAGTTTCACACTTCCTGGAAAAAGTGAAGCGGTGGCACTCGACCTGGCAACCAACGCCCATTAAAAGTTTTGACTTTAAACTGCATTAAATCTCGCAGATTCATCTAATGACCCACTTCACTTTATTAAATGAAAGCAGCGTTAATAAAAAGGAGCGTGTTTGACAGTTTTCAGCAGCACTGCGGTGCGTCTGAGAAAAAAATGCGCTGTTATGTAACGAGACACTGAAATGGAGTCGATAAGTTGAATCGATCATTTCCCATTAAAGCGTGCCATCATTACCACAAGAGTTAACCCACATGAGCCTGTCCACTACATAACATTATAATCAGAAATGGACTCACCTTATAAAGTTTGCGGAAGAAATACTCTAACTTCCACACTGGTTGTCTTCCTATTGGTCATGTGGCTCTCATGTTACAGAGCTGAGGCACACCCAGTCTGACTGACAGAAAAAAAATAGGGTGGTGGAGGAAAAAAAAAGGTGTGAGCATAAAAGGCTGCTGTGATATTATTGCAGATCAACCTCCACCCATTTGATAAACAATGGCGTGTTATTAAAGCATTATATGGTCGAAGGAGATTTGCTCTCAGCAGAGCGTCACAGGCTACTTCATGTTTAGTTGTGATTGTAGTTGTTTAACTGTAAAAGAAAGTGCTTCTAAATGTCTGAGTAATGATGACCAGTGATGACAAAACCATTCATATGTTTTGTTTATTACAAACATATTACATAAGTGTCTTGATAAAGTGATTGTGGCATAAGGATTTTAAGAGTTTGCCCTGCAGCAATATATTGCACCAAAAGCAGCAAAAATATTAGTCGATTTTGTTTTATACACATTTATATGCAGGAGTGGGCGATGCCAATAAAATCTGCTAACACAGCACATGTCATTTATTTCTTTTGTGATATACTGTGTAATTGGTACATTCTCTGGAAAATCAATTGAGGCAGTGGATGTGACAAATGACAAAACAATTTCAATTCAAGGTCCAATTACTGTCTTGTTCTGGAGCTTTTGACCCTATCACAGAGTTAGATAAGAAGCAATATACCACTCTCATGTCTGTGTGCTAAATCTGTAGCTACAACCAGGAGACGTTAGCTTAGCTTAGCATAAAGTCTGAAAGCGGCAAGCTTTGTCAAAGGGTTAAAACGCATAAATATATACGACTAATTAACATGTTTTATCTTGTTTGATAAATGGAAGAGCGCTTTGCAGTTCAAATGGTCTTCTGACAACTCAAGCGGGTTTACGAGGCTTTTACAAGGTGCCACCTGCTACTCACTTTAAACAATATGCAGCTACAGCCAGGAGATGGTTAGCTTAGCTTAGCATAAATTGGCAAAGCAGCCAGCAAATCTCTAAACACATTACATCTTATAGGCTTTATCCTCCTAAGACCTGAACTTTTGTTTGGTTCCCATTTTTAATTTCTCCTAGCTAACTGGGATCAGTAGGACCTCTTAAGAGTAAAAAAATAAACATTGTCAACAATAATAAAGTCAAAATGTCCTTCAACAAGCTGATGATAAATTCCTTATGTCTTCAACTGAGTACCTTCTAATTAACAGCGTCTTATCTTGAGACCAACAGGTCTAAGTTAAGCAGAGTGAAGTATAAGGTGCAGTAAACCCAAAATGTAATGTCCTCGTATGAGGGCGCAGGGTCTCAGGAGGGTATTTATTCCTTCCAAAACACTAAGTTTATCCCACTTTGCATTTTTACAGGAAGTTGTGTGCCACACATAGAAATAGTCCAACAAATAACCAAGCCACCAGGAACAGCGCAAGGTTTTGAAGACTATTTTGTATATTAGCCAAACGTACATTACAACATCCGGGTCCATCATGGGATACCGTTAGGCCCAAAAAGATTTTATCCCTTAGACTTAGACATCTGTAAATCAGTGTCACAACCCTGCAAATATACTGAACCCCACCTCCAATACTGTATCCAGTTCTCTTTATACTTTCATGTGCAAAACCTGCAAATTGGTGTTTTTACACACCTGCTTTTTTCCAGTCTTTACCCTAAGCTAAGCTAAGCTAACTATTTCCTGGGTGTAGTTTCGTATTTATAGGACAAATATGAGCGTGGTATTGATCTTTTTGCTAATGTTTGGCAAGAAAGCCATTGAGTGAGTATTTTTCCCCCAAAATGTCGAGCTTTGCCTTTAAAAGTTGAGTTTGACGGTTCATTTTTGACATCAGAAACAGCAGCTGACAAAACAATCTCAACTCGAAAACAAATTCCATGCTCGTTCTGTCTCTTCAAAGGCCAGTAATACACTGTGAAGCTCAAAATAATCAATATTTGGGCTAATCCAAATGGACAAATCTTCATTACATTAATGCAAAGAGAAAAAAAATACATAAAAATCCAATAACATCCATTATGTATTTCTGCTAATTGATTTACAGCATTACCCACAAGAATCTGAGATGTTACAGGGATTAAAGGGATTGAAGGGCGATGGTGCCTCAGTATAAATGTATGATAAAGTCTCTGGCAGCTAACAGACTAATATCGTCATATCGCCCAAACCCTAGTGATATCCAGTGAGGATAGAATCATATACGTTATATAACACTAAGTTGAAGCTGGCATGGAGATGTATGACTCTGAAAAAACACCCTGAAGCTGCTGTATCATCTACAGATGAAAGATATATATGTAAAAGAATAAAAATCATTACAAGTAAGACACTGAATCACATACCAGATCCCCTATAGAGCAGATTATGCATCGACATAGACAATAATTATGAATGAATTTCTATATTTAATGGAAACATTTCCAGGTCTCTGGTAAAGACATTCATGGATTTATGTGTAGCTCACTTCTTCCAGCTGCACTTTATCTTTTCTCTGTGAGCCTACTCAGGGTGGACACACAGGTAGGCTCTTTTGTGTTTTCCATAGTAGTAACAGTCCTCATGGAAGTTGTTAGTCTCCACCACCTCCTTGTAATGGCTGACAGCATGGACCAGACAGTTGGGGAAGCTCTTGTTCAAAGCCAGGGCCACTGCCATCATGTCCGACTTCATCTTCTGACACTCGATCTGCTCCTGGATCTGGCTCTTGTTAATGGGCTTGGGGTTGACGCAGAAAGAAACCACCACTTTGACCTTGTTCTTGGTCATAATGTCAAACCAGTTGGCTCCTCCGCTTCCATGGCACTTCTTTCCCGCCAGCCAGTTGAAAAAGAAAATGCGCTCCCTCTCGCTGAAGGCCCTGATGGACCAGTTCACCCAGTCGTATTTCTTAATGAGTGAATCCAGAAGGGTTTTGGTAAATTCACGGTCAACGGTGCCGGGGTTCTCCTGAAGCAGGTGCTCCATGTCTTGCTTGGCTTGGACGGCAAAGTTCTCTGTGCAGTCATCCACAGCGGCTTTCATCCGTTTCTCCACCTCCTCCATCCGATCTTGCCACTTCTTCACCATCTCCTCCCCCACCACTCCTTCCTTGAGGGCTGCGTGACCCATGACGGCGATAATGCCCACTACAAAAAGCTTCTTCAGGCGGGCGCAGAAATCCTCAACTGCCCTTCTGTTTCTCTGCTCTGTGGTGACGACTGTCTCCAGCATAGGGTCTCCTGAGGTGTTCTCCCCAGTGACGGCATTGTAGAGGGCATCCAAGTTCAAGTCGGCGTCTGTGTTCTCGTAATGGCTGATGAATTTCTCCATCTTCTTCTCTTTGAACTTTGGCTTGGCGTTGACAAAGTCTTGGAACTTCTCGTACTGGCTGAGCATCTGCGCCTCTCGATCAAAGTTCTGCTTGTTCAACGAGGTCCTCTGCAGCGCCAGGGCAATTTTATCAATCTCATCTTGGATACCCTCGAGTAGCTGGTTGACCAGTTCAAACTGCTGAGTCAGGTAGCGAGCCTCTTTACTGTCTGGGTTGCTGAGTATCTCAGCCGAAGCCACGAACACGGCCTCCAGGACGGGGTGAAGCTGGCCCACAGTGGCAGCGAGCACCTCGGAGGCTTGCCCCATGATCTCCACGCCTTTCTCGATCTTGTCCCTGTTCTGCACGAGCCAGTCTGCCACACTGTTCATCGTTGTGTTATGTTATGTCACACTAACTAAACTACTTTGTTTTCCAGAGGCTTTGCTGGTGCCTGAAAGAAGAAGAAACATGAAACCCTTGTAAAGTTCAATATAGTGTGATTTGGAGACATTTTTTAAAAATGGCACTCATTTGTCTTTTTTTCGGCAACATTTGGTAAAGCAAATGTAATCAGATAACATTAAAGGAGCAGTGTGTAAGATTTAGGGGGATTTAGTGGCATCTAGTGGTGAGGAATGCAGATTGCAACCAGCTGAAACTTCTCCCAGGTAGAATTCCTTTCATGTTTATTGTTCAGGAGGTTTTTACCAGGAACTGAATTGCCACAGAGGTCTCTTCCTATCCAAAACAAACAGATCAGGTAATTTGAAGCGGTAAAAACCCTGAACAAAGAAGTTCCACGTTACAAATGAATGTTTTCTCGACACTGTACGGCATGTCAGAGACAGGCCACTTGCCCAGCACCTACTAATATGTGCTCACCTTGTTTCTCTGATAATTTAAGATCCAGACATTCAGGAGGTCCGCCAACACATTCTCATTCCAACTTTGTCACATATAGACATTTGGTCATGGACTTTCCACGTTGAGATACGACATGTAAGGTACCCTGGGTGCGCTGGCTGTTGACTTTCCAGGATGCATTGTCAAGTTCTGCCTGTTTTATGCATTCTCTTCTTTCAAAATACACTTTGGTTTTCACAGGAAATTTAAAGTTACATGCAGTCTATTTCAAAATATACACACTACGTCAGTACGACACTGCAAATTGACGTTTTTTTTCCTACAACACCAAACACGCATGGTTGAGTTTAGGAAAAAAGAGCAGGGTTTGGTTTTACAATCTTTTGGGAAGCGAACACCGCCCTCCTGGGTCAGAGTCGGTGGTTGTTGGACCCACCCACTTTATTCGGACTTGCGCCACTGGGCACCGTTAAACAATAACTGTGATAAGCTGTGTATCATGCCAACATTAAAGGATGAGGAGACAGGGTTGTATCTGCAGAGGTCTCTGCTTTTACAGAGAGCCCGGTCTCACTCTGAAGTCATCAAAATCTGGCACTTGGGCAGTGACTTGTGGCGTCAGAAATAAACTAAATAAGGTGTCCTTTAACGTCGGCATGATACACGGCCAGTTGCTGTCGTAGTTTACGGGTGCCACGCGGCATAGGGGGGAACGCACGGGACAAGGCCGAAAGTTAAGATGGGGAAAATCCGAGTGGGGTGGGCGAGAAGGGTTCTGGATGGTCCAACATACATCGACTTTGCGGTGTTCGCGTCTCATAAGATTCATAAGCCAAACCTTGTTCTTTTTTCCTAAACGTGTTTAATGTTGAAGGGAAAAAAAACGTCAATTTGTGGTGTTGTACGTAATGTAGTGCGTAATTTTGAAAGAGACTGTACTGCATGTAAACGTTAAAATTCCTGTGAAAACGGAGGTGTGTCTTGAAAGCAGAGAACTTGTCACAATGTCCCAGAACAACCAATGCACCAAGGGTACCTTGCACATTATATGTGTACGTCAAAGTTCCATGACCAAAACGTCAATATGTGAAGAGGTTGTGAGAATGTGTTGTTCCAGGACAAACAGGCTTGGTGAAAAGCGTCAGGTGAAAAAATCTGTGTTTTTCCGACATTGCTCATCACAGGATAGCTCTTAACTCCAGTGGCCAAGGCAGAAACACGAATGGCCCTATCTAAAGCCAGTGTTTGGTTTGTCCCTTCTGGACTACCATAGAAACATGGCGGTGCAACATGACGGACTCCTTGGACAAGCTCACTCTAAGACAATAAAAACACAATGATTCTTATTATCAGGTGTTTATACACCAGAGAAAACATACTAATAATTTTATATTCCATTTCTGCCAGTATATCCCCCTAAATCCTACACATTGGACCTTTAAGTCATTTTTTCTCACAGGACATTTTCCTGACAAACAAAACCCTACAATAAAGCAAACGGCAGGTCATGTCTGCACATGTAGGCATCCAGTTTCATGCCGCACCCTCAGAGCCTCAGTTAATGACAGGGACTCGTTTTTTAAGCCTTGGTGGCATTGACACATATAAAAAAAGCTCGTGAAAGTACACAAACGAGGCACACATGGATGGCAATACAGAACAAATATCAAACATGGTGTGTGTACTCATGAATTATGACGTGAAGTATATTGTGCAACATTGCAGCACTGGCCCTTTGGGATGTCAGTTTTTACTGCTCTAACAATAGCCAAGACCCAAAGCAAACACAGATGTTCACAACATGGTAAAAGAGGGGGATTTACTTTGGGAACGATAGTATGGTTTTCTATGTAAAATACACAGGAGAGATGACCTAACTCGTTTCTCATTCCCTGGAGCCCATATCCAGTTCAGAAAAAGGCACACCCAAGTCTGAGAGGAAAAAAATCCCCACCACTGCACTTGTTCAATAATGCAATCACACTTCCCTAATCATTACAACCTCAATGTAATTAAAACCAAACACACACAAATACGTTTTTTTGAGGTTTTGGCATGAAAAAAGAGGCACATACAGATTTATATGTGTAACCAAAGAAAATAGGCTCACCAATAATTGCTGCACTGATGAGATCAGTGGTGTCATTTTACAGCCTTTTCCTATCACTGCACTAATTAGATTTACTTTATTCAACCACATGCCATCAGTGCTTTTACACTCTATACACATTTCTGTATCATGAAAATATCAAAAAGTGCACCATTCAAAATTTGAATTTGTAATTACATAACACAATTAAATCCCATTCTAATTTAAAGGGGGAAATAACAGTGAAAAAAAATACTTACTGAGTATTAATCTTGGTTTGTGTTGGAAAATATCTTCCTTTGTAACACCAGACCAAAAAAGTTTGTCTTCTTTTAGCAACAAAAAGTAGAATATATTTTTGTGAAAGGAAAAAAGGCGAGTCCCACACAGCACTTGATCAAACACTGGTCTCCCCTTTCAGTGTGATATGCCTTGCTACACAGCTACAGGGCTTTAATAGGAACCACATACGTAGGTCCTCAACAAGACCACATCCCCCAAAGGACTCATCTCTACCTCTGGGCACGTCACTTAAATCTGGGCCTGTTTTTCTGTGGAAGAGTATTTAAATTTTAAGGAAATACTATGAAAGAGAAAATTCCAGTTCCTCAAAGCTTGTAATGAAGGCCAGTTTTAATAATGGGGAGAAAAGCTGAATAATCAGAACTGAATGTTGAGTTTTTCTTTCTTTCTTTCTTTCTTTCTTTTTCTTTTTGTCTTTCTTTTTTCTTTCTGTCTTTCTGTCTCTCTTTCTTTTTTACATTTGATAGAAAACTAAAACTTAAGGTAAAGTGGAGAAGTAGGTGATGGAGATGCTGAATTAGAGAAGGGAAAAAAAAACAGGAACTCACCTTTCTAGCTAAATATCCAGTGGGCCACAGTCCAGTTATCCAGTAGTCCAGCTGTGCCTGTGAGCACCAGCCTCTTTGGGATGTATATATAGACTCTCTCCCTCTTTCCCTCCCTCCTTCCCAGTGTCTGTCCGTCTCTCTTGTCACTCCCCCTTTGGAACTCCTCCATCCAGTTCCAGCATTCCTCAGAAACCCACTCAGAGGGATGAGGGGCCGGCACTGACACAGATAACATCCTGTAAACACTCCCCATGCAGGGACACCATGCACCCTGGGAAAAATTTAGAAAAAAAAAAAAAAAGACTGGTTTTTCTCATTCTCCTCGTGTGTGTGTGAGTGTGTGTGACAGACAAAGAGAGTGAGAAAGAGAAATAAAAGGAGAGCAGTAGCAGCAGGGTTCAGCAAAGCAACCCATGAGGACAAAACCCCTCTTGTTGTGGCTCGTACAGGGTTGCCATGGCCACTGCACTGGTTCCTCTAACTTTTGTGGGACTGTGCACGCTCAAGAGCCGAATTCATCTCCCTCTGTTTGCCACTAGTTGGGATTCACGCCATTTTAGCACCCTGAATAACGAGATAAGACTTTATCTAGAAATGCAGGCTGAGTTTTCTGAGAAACACTTTTTAAGAGGGGTTTTTCAGACCATGTTTGCAAATGTTGACCTACTTCACTCAGAAGGTGATAATTAGTGATGGAAATCTATTGGTTGCTGCATTTCAGCATCACAAATAAGGATGACATTTGCCCTGCAGGGGCAGCGCTTAGTCTGTCACAGTGTTGCCCAGTGAAAGAAAGCCTGTGTTTCCGAGTACACACCATGACAGTCAGAGCTCAGTCATGGTCTTTGTGCTTTTTAAAGTAGGCCGTGACACACGCAGCACGATGTCACTGTCAACTGTCTGCTTTAATGGATCATAAAGAGGCGGGAACAGGAAGAGGAGGGGAGGATGTCTGCTGCAAATTGATACTGGTCAGCCGGAGCAGAGGAGGGTTAGGCGGGCACGTCCGCCAACGCCTCGTTCCTGTGTCGTCCCACTGTCAGATCTCACACTTGTAACCATCAGAAAGTGGAACGCAGCTTTCGCAGGGACTCAACAGTATGTGGCGTGATGGGTGGTACAGGCCGACGCTGGTAAACACACACTGTAGAGGCCTGAGCGCGACGTCACTCAGCTGGAGGACCTCACTTGCTCTCTATGGGTGTTTGTTTTCTTGACAACTTTTTTTTTTTTTAAGAAACTGAATGTCTTCAACATTGGCAAAGAAAACAATCTGCACTACACACACGCACACGAACCAAACAAACAACAAGTCCTATAAAAGAAGCTCTGGCTCCAGCATCAATGGAAACGTGTCGAACTTGTAGAGAAGTTGGGCCTTTGTTGTTTGTGGTTTCAGGCTCGTCAGGTGGAAACATGGGTGAAATATTTGAGATAATGGCAGCCAGCTGAGGGGAGAGTTTGTGTGCATCTAGCTGTTTTGTCTGGCTTAACTCAGCATGCATCCACTCAGCATGTTGCATGAGCTGAACTAATCTCTTACATGATCTTACATTTCTATCATCAGGAGCTTTGATTCTGATGATATACTCATATATGCACTAGTTGTAAGATGTTCTGGATCTTGGTGTAGCTTTCATTCCTTGCTTTTGATTTAAATTTGCATGAACAGCAGAAGAAAGTGAAAAGTCATGAGATTCATCCGATCAGTTTAGCAGTTATCCATGAACTGCAGCTGCATCCTGAGTCTGTATTCTGTAAAACTAAGAAAAAAATAAGCTTTTCTGCTTTTTTTATTTCATCGCATGTAAAGTTCATGACAGTAAATCTAATAACACAATCCAGTAACAGAGGTTGTCTTTCTGGTTGTATCTGGAAGCCTAAATGATAAATGACTTCCTGGTCCGAGGAAGCTATTGACCACCTTTTATCTTTTTGACCTTGGCCAATGGCTAGTGTTTCCTCCTCACCACAAGATGTCTCCTCAGCTCACAGGAAAAGCCCCGAGTGGCTCATCCCATCACAGAATATACACAGCATTTTCTGGAAAGTGCTGGTGTTTGAAAACGTCAGTGGCACTAATCGAGAGACAAGAGAAAGTGCTTATACATAAGAAGAGATTTGTATAGCTTTGTATCATATGCTGAGAAGAGAGAGAGTATTATGATGCAATAGAGATGCAGAGACATGTTCACGAGGCAGAACTTCACAAGGGAAAATAAAGATGGTCAGCCTGAAATACAAGACTGCATTTTGGCAGGGCTTTAAACAATGCCATGAAAAATGTTGATGACCTGCTCAGACCAGGATTTAATGCCAATTAGTTAACTGCACAAACCGAACAACATAATTAGCTTTGGGAACCGTGTTATTGTAAGCACACTATTATCTAAACAGGCTGAGTAGGCAATCTTTCAAAGAAGAGGCTGAGATGTGCGTACAGACATGTTGCTCATATCAACAACTCAGTGTTACATCAGTGTATCGAAGGATTGCTTCATAAATAGAAAGCCATTGTTGGGAAAGACGGGATTTAGGACTTGTCATGCTGGATTTGGCTCCCATGGGAAAATAAACGTGGGCAGGATTGATGGGCCCTTTGAATACAGCTGAGCTGTAAAGATGAAAGTGTTTTCCTGGTGTAATGGATGCTTGATTGTGGGATTTTGCCAGAGGCCCCAAACAGCAGACAGAAAGTTGGTCCATGCCCAGATTATCACCTTTTAGGTTTTCCCTCGAAACTGCATTGATTTGAATGACAGAAAGAGCAGGGATGTGTTCACACGTGCGGAGATATCCTGATGAAGACCTGCTGAGGTGTAAACAATGTTTAGTAAATGAATGAGATAACATCAGTGCAGCATGTAGATTTAATTTCATGATCATAGCAAGCTGGCTGGAAAGATAAACATTTCTCTGAAATGAAAACCTGTGTCCTCACAGAGTAAGAGTGAGGCCGTGGCCTCCTTTTGGAGTTGTAAATATTTCATGAATGTATTTCTGCTCTCGCTGCCACAGTGTGAGACGAACATTGCATGCATGTCAAATGCTCACATCACAGAGTGGTGATGTTACAACTCTTTTATACAACTTCAGCATCAAAATGATTTCAAAACATTTGAAATACAACATGAAGAATAATCTGTGTTACACCAAAGCAGCAACCTGTATGGCTGAGAAATAAAGCTAATGAATAAAAGCCACACACTGCAGTTCCTTGAATGGCCACTTGAGGCTGACTCCAAAACAGTCAATCCCCAAAGACATTCATGTTAAAATGCCCAACTTTACAGCAGCAATAAACCTGTTTACCACCCGGTACAAAAAAAAGTTTTGGTCTCTATAGGTAATTTCAACATTCACCCGTTTAAATTTTCTTAAGGCTTAAAGTTACGCATATTTAAGGAAGGGGTCGTTTCAGAGTCAGGCTGTCTGCGAGGCGTCGCTGCAGTCAGATCCACTCCTTGCTCTTCCACAGCTTAACCGTCTTGTCCAAACATCATCACCTGATAATGTGATGGTAGCCCTTTTTAAATAGGAATTGTGCAAATTTGCAGGAAAGCCCAATCAGTCTTTTTTCAGCATTGGCAGTATAAAAACTAAATCGGGGAGTGCAGCAAAATGCCACCTACCTACTTTTGTTCATACAGAATGTGCCTTTTCGGGGCAATGGGGGGCGTGAGTAAGTAACAAAACATGTAGCTTAGCGTGTGATGTAAACAGTGATGTGGGAGGGAAGCCGCGACTGGTCAGTCCTTCCGCTATTCTCTCATAAGTCGGCCCGTCCTTCACCGTCCCCGTCACTTGACGGTTAATGGCCTCTTAGTTTGCGAGGACAAGGAGGGCGCACAATTCCTTGTCTCCCCAGTTGTTCATCTTTACAGTGTCTGTCAGGTTTGCGTTTCGCTCTTGCTACTAGCTGCTCGCTAATTCCTGCTATCAGCTGTTTCCTGTTTATCCACCACCAGTGGGTCACACTTGCAGCGTCATCAACAGCTCCTCCCACAAGTCTTCAACAGCCTCTCCCGTGGCGAAAGGGTGACTCGGTCTGTTTAAACTAAAAAGGTTCCGCCAATATGACCACCCAATGAGGCGGAAAATCGGGCACCTCGGATCAACTTGCCAATCCGGCTCTGTGTGTCTAAACGCTCACAGCTTGCCAGCAAAACGGCCCAACATTCGCTGAAAATCTGGTAGTGTAAAAGGGGCTGGTGATTAGCAAAATGCCAAACTCAAGACTTCAAAACGAGAGTCCACAAACCAGTGGGTGATATCACGTCAGCCAGGTCTATTATTTTATACAGTCTATAGTTGCACCCAAGTCTTTCATCCCAAAAAGTGATTTATAAAGGAAGTGCTTCCCATGACTTGGGATACGGCAGGTCTATTCACAAGTTTATCATCCCCAACTAACAATTTTGCATACTGAGATCTTTATCACAATGCAGGCACAATCCAGATATCAAGAAATCAAATTTTAATAGCCCACCAGCTTTTAATACGTAAACCGAACATTATCCGGCACTTTAACCAGATAGGCTACAGATCACATGTTAGTACCAGGTATAAATAGGGCCTTAAGGTAGTTAGAATAGAACTGATAAACTTTTTTGTCTGTCTCAGCAGTGACAGAAATTCTCCTTTGACGAGGCTCAACAATCTCATAAAAGCAGGTTAAAGTGCAGCGTCTATTTTAGAGTGTTGAGGGTGGTTATGGCAGGGGGACTGAAGGATTTCTTGTAGATGTTTTTCCAGGCCACTGGGACTCGGTAACGTCTGCCTGATGATAGTAACTGGAAGGGGGTGAAAAGGGTCCTCGGTGATCAGGGTGGCTTTCCTGATCATTGAGGGGTAATTCAGTTCTGATAGAGGAGTTTGGGTGAGCCAGTTATTTTGCTTGTCTGATTAGTTACGCCAGAGAGTTCAATTCAAGAGTCTACAGCCATGCTAGCAGCTCTGTGAGGCTGTTATTAGGCACAGCGGTGCTTTGAGCTAAATGCTAATGTCAGTATGCTAACATGGTCACAATGACAATGCTTACTGTAGTAGGTATAATGTTTACATGTTCACCATCTTAATGTAGCTTGTTAGCATGCTAAGATTAGCTAATTAGCATTAGCACTTAATACAGCTGAGTCTGAGAGGACTCCAGTCTAGTATTTTTTAGGGATTTAAGTTGCTAATTTGTCCTGTAGGTGTCACTATTGTCATGGGTGTCTGTCAAAATAGGTAGGAACCATTCATTGAGGGACAGGTGTTGCTAGATGGGGGAGCACCCATAGTTTTTTGATGATAGGCTGCTCAGTGTAATAGTGAAAATGTGTACATCTGAATGGTTTATCGACACAGATTCATGGATGTTTGCAAGTTTTTCATTGAAGACTACAGTGGTGATAAATAAACTATGCATCAAAGAAGAAGAAGAAGAAGCAGACTCTGTTTTCACCTGATGAGCAGCGGTCGGTTAGGTCGGGCGAGTGCATCAATTAGTAAGTAGCCTGTCTATGCTACTTACTGTC